CTACGTGATACAAGTAACGAACTTTTTGACTGTTAAACATGTTTTACTGAATACACATCTTTTATCTGACACAGACCTCTGTGAAACTAATCTTATCAGCTCCTTTTTCCTGTCAGCTTGGTGAACTTTGCTCTGAGAGGTATACGTGCTGAGCAGGATTTGTCTTATGGAAAAATACTGAGACAGAATAGCCACAAGTATATACATAGTTATGAATACATGAAATGGATAAATATAAGAAAAATAAAAGAAACAATAGGACAGGGATGGTAGGCACGTTGGTGCGCTTATGCATAATTCTTAGGAAAGAGGTGAGGTCAATAGTAGACAGTCTAAGGTTAAAGTTTTTGGGGTTTGGGGAAGAAACCACAGAGTCAGGTAGAGTATTCCAGACATTGACCACTCTGTTCCTGAAGTTGTATTTCCTGCAATCAAGTTTGGTGCGGTTAACCTTGAGTTTGTATCTATTGTGCGCTCTTGTGTTGTTATGGTTGAAGCTGAAGTATTCATTGACAGGTAAGACATTGCAATGTATGATTTTATATACCATACTTTGATCAGACCAAAGACAGCGTAATTCAAGGTTTTCAAGGTCTAGAATTTCAAGTCTGGTGGCATGAGGTATTCTACAACAAGTAGAGGAGTGGAGAACTCTTCTTGTAAAATATTTCTAGACTTTCTCAACTGTGCTAATATCAGATACGTAATGTGGGTTCCGGACTGATGAGCTGTATTCGAGTATTGGTCTAGCAAATGTTTTGTATGCTCTAGTTAGTAGTGTGATATTACCAGAGAAAAAGCTACGTAAGATTAGCCTAACAACTCTTAATGCCTTTTTGGCTATGTAGTTACAGTGGGCTCTAGCACTTAGATCATTAGTAATGAGTATTCCAAGGTCCTTTACAGAGCTTGGATCATCAATAAGGTCTTGACGATTCAGCTTGTATTTTATTTTCTGATTTTTCTTTGCCAATATGTAAGACAGATCATTTATTTGTTGAGATTTGAAGTTGCCATTTGTTTGACCATTCTGATACACAGTCGAGGTCTTTTTGAAGGGTAGCAATATTGTCTGTGGTATTGAACAGCTTTATATCATCAGCGAAGAGAACGCAGTTGCTCTTAATATGATCACAGAGGTCATTTATGTAGAGTATGAAGAGAGTTGGTCCTAGAACACTGCCTTGGGGGACACCACTATTGACAGGTACAGAATTTGATAGGACACTCCCAATTTTGACCATTTGTTGTCTGTTTGACAGGAATGCTTCTATCCAGTTATGCAGGTGCCCAGAGATACCATAAGGTTTTAGTTTTAGGAGTAGTTTGTCGTGTACCACTGAATCAAAGGCTTTACAGAAGTCTATGTAGATTGCGTCTATTGTTTTGCCCTGATCGAGTTGTGTAGTTCATATGTTTTTGCAGTGTAAGAGTTGCAGATTACAGGATAGATTTTTTTCTGAAACCAAATTGTTTATTAGAGAGTAGGTTGTTTGTCTCTAAGTGGAGGATAATGGATTGGTTAATAATTGATTCCATGACTTTACAGGTGACGCAGCATAAAGAAATTGGTCTGTAATTTTCAACTAGGCTGGGGTCTCCCTTTTTGAAGATGGGGATGACAGTGGCTTGTGTGACCATAGGTTAGGCAAGGAGATGGTCCTGAAAGATTTTTCAAAGATTATGCTTAGAGGTTCTGCTATGGCAGTGGATAGCTTTTTTAAGAAGTAGACACATATTCCGTTCGATCCCATAGATAGAGATGGTTTTAGATTGCGCAGTGCTTTTACAACATTGTCTTCTGTAAAATCGATATGTATTAGATCATTGTAGTTTTCTGTGGTTCGGCTAGGAAATACTGGGCATGATCCATTGCTGTTTACAAATACTGAGCCGAAGAATGTGTTAAAGATGTTGGCTTTAATGGTGTCATCGTTGCAGTCTTTACCATCAGGTCCTATCAAGGGAGGGATGGACCTTGAGTCTTTTAGTTTGTTGTTTACAAAATTGTAAAAAGCACAGGTGGAATTGGTGCGTAGAAGGTTTTCCTCTTGTTTAATGTGATAATTGGTGCATTCAGTCTTTATCTGGTGGCATAAATTTTTGTATTGGTTTTTGAAATTGGCAACGTGACCAGATTTGTTTTTCCGCCAGAGTGATCTCTTTTTGGATTGAAGTTTCCTTATTGTTATGGGTAATCTGTTGGGTTTTTTTTTTTGTTTTTTTTGTTTTGGGAGTTGTTATTGGTACATATAGTTTGATGACTCTTTTGACTCTAAGTAAAAATATGTTGTAATGGTCTTCATTACATTGCATCCAGTGAATAGAGATTGGCAATCAAGGGATGAGAGATCGTTGTCTATAAGATCATAGTTTGTATTTTATTCAATTCTGTTTGTATTTTATACAATAGACTAATAAAACTATATATAGAGCCCAAAACAAAGACTTTCCTGGGCAGATGATCCTTAAAAATCATTTTCTCTTTCATTTATTTTCAGGGAAACATCGGCGCATCCTCAGTTTTATCAGCTGCTTCGCTGCAGGGGTCTTCCTGGGTGCCTGTATTATGCACATGGTGGCCGATGCCCTGGGAGACATCGAAACAGAAATAAGAAAACGACAGCACATGGTGAGTGCTGTTTTGAGAGTTCCATTTTTGCCATCCTGGGAACAGGATTGTGCTTTCAAATGCCGAAGTTCCATGATTCATCATTTTCTATTAGAAATAAATAAATAAGTCTCCTTACAGGAAACTTAGGACAGGAAAAAATTCTGAACATTCTGCTAGCTTCTAATTTACCAGTTACTGGTGTTATTGCTATTTCATTGATCCCGTCTGCGAGTCAATGCTATAATCTCCTTGGCTATTGCTTACTCTCATAATAAGAAACTTATGATGTAGATTGATCTGAAAATGGCCCAAAGAATTGAGTCTGGATTTTCCTGTTCACTGGCCTGTCCTAATTTATAGGTTCCATATAGTTTAAAAAAAAAACACAATAACAAACTAAACCTTCATACACAAGATCTCTTGAAACCTTATTATCTGTTGAGATTTGGAACATATTATTATAATGATAGTGAACTAAATATAGATGATGCTAGAAAAATTGGTCAAATCCTCCTTTGACCGAATCAACCTCCTAACTAATTGTTGATAATTACTGCAAGCAATTCGGGACCAGAGTTAGCAATAATCTTATCTGGTAAGACAAGTAACTTAAGACTGTCTTTGTTAAGATAGTAAGAAAATTTGATTTTCTTCTACCTTCATGTGTATGCATATCTTCTCACCTGCATCTGACAAAGTGTATCTATCTAAAAGGAAGATGCCTTTTGCAGCTGATTCTTAAAAGTCAGTATGAACAGTGATGTTGCAAAAAGATAAATCGTTTGGAAACAATTTAACTTAACTGCCAAATTCAGAACATGGAGATGCATCACCTTCAAATTGATACTTTCATTTCATTTCTGCAGTAGATTTTACTGAATACAGGTCTTGTGTCCAAAACTCTGGTGTTATGTTTTTTCTAGGAGAGTGCCAGACATAAAGAAAATAGCACCTACATGGACATTGATAATGATTCAGAGGTAAGAGTCCCATTGTTTAAGAACTTTGCTTTCCCTTCATCTTGGCACTTACTAACCGGAAGAGTTTACCTGTAATCTTCCAGATGTTGGGTTCCAACTTCCATTGACCCTTCCAGGGATGATTGAAATTGGAGTTTGAAATCACGTTTGACTCAAAGAAGTCCTGACATCATGGTCCTCAAACTTTCATCGTGAGGAGGAATCTGTGAACTTCTAGTATTCTTGAATTCCACAGAGTCCTCATCATGATCAAGATTTGAAGACCATGATGTCAGCAGAAGGAGGCAATGCCTTCTTTGAGTTATACATGATTCCTGGTGACCTCAGGGGTATAGCTGTATATCTTTCTTGCAAAAATACAGAGTGACTTTCCATTGCTTTCTTTTGGATTAATAATGGGTTATTGGTGGTCATAGTGCAGGGGTGGGCAAACTACGGCCCGCGGGCCACATCCGGCCCGTTGGTCTGTCCAATGTGGCCCGCCCCTGAAAAAAAATCGCTGGGGAAAAAATTGCCCTGTGCCGCGTGGCCCCCAAAGCTGCAAAACAGTGCGGAGCGATCTAGGGGTAGGAAAGAAAAGAAATTTGCAAAGGCCTCGGCTGGGAGTTCGAAATCACCTTCGAGTGCGACGAAGGTGAGTCCCCGCCGATCCCCCCTTTTTTTCCGGGACTTCCAGGCTTAAACTTTGCAAAGGCAAAGCTTGCAGGCTGGAGCGTCTTCCCGCCGAGGAGCGGGAAGGGTTCCGCCCGGCGGGTGGGGCGGGCTGCTTGGAGCGGGCTGCCGTGCGGCTCAGGGCGAGGCGCGAGC